CCCAGGTGCCCCTCTGGGGTATTATTTCTTACAACTAATTGTTGACCTGCAACGATCTCAGAATAAAAAGTTAAAAAGAGGAGCATCTGGGTGGCTCAGTCGGTTAAGTGTCTGACTCTTGGTTTCCGTTCAGGTCATGATCTCATGATTCATGAGTTTGAGCCCCTGTCGGGCTCTACGCTGACAATGCGGAACCTGCTTGGGATTTTCTTTCTCTCCCTGTCTCTCTCTCTCTCAAAATAAATAAATAAACTTAAAAAAGTACATAAAAAGAGCAATGAAGGGCCACACAGTCTCTGTCATGCAGCATCCTATCCCTGACTCAAGAACCTGATGTTAGTACTGGGTCAGACCTCAGGCAGCCAGAGCCCTCACCTCGAGGCCCTGCCTACAATGAGGGAGGATCACTGTGCCCCCGGCACTTCCTGCTACCCCAGTGGTACCTGCCCAGCACTGGCACAGGGTATAGTAATGGGGCATGCTTGACTCACAGTGTCAGCAGCTCCCAAACTCCCCATAACCAAGAAAGGAAGAAGCCTCTGGAAGAGGTGGCCCCTGCTGTGTGCCCAGTGCCGACAAGCTAGGACTTCCCAGAAGGTGTCTCACCCAACCCTTGTGACCACCTGGCTGAGACACTGCTATTGTCCCATTTCACAGACGGAGTGGTCAGGAACAGCAAGGGTAATTGTTTACCCAGGGTTTCAGAGCTGGGAAAGGCTCCTCTGGCCATTGAGGAGAGCAATGCCTTTTGGACATTTTTTTAAATCCACGGACCCCATGATAGGAAAGTTCACCTCTTCAGCCAGCTGCACCTAAGACACAGTTCATTTGTTTTTCCCAATTAAAAAATTAACCGAAGCTCTCAATGTCCCCCACTCAGGTCTGACCCTGCCGGGGGCATGACCAAGGGGCTACAATTCCAGTCCAGTGTAAAGAAACCCATTGGTGTGGTTAGCTCAGCCAGCCATGGGTGGTGATGGAGGTGGGTAATTCCTATTTCATTTTCCGCTGTATCAGGAAGAATTCGAAGACACCCCATTGTTCCTTTCACAGCCTGGGGCCCCCACGATGGGCACCACTGGTCTGGACTCTACTTGTTGGGGCAGAAAATGAGTTTAGACACTTGAACAGGCCCCAGGACAGGTTTTTTAGGCTCTTCCCTTGAGTTACTCAGGGTGTGAGGCTGGCCAGCCGCCTTGTGTGTGCCCTGGGATCGGATGGCTGAGGTCTAACCTTGGAAATGCAGGAGTGAGTCAAGGGAACACGCAAGCCAGCAGGAGCAGACACACCAGTGGGCCAGGCTACCTTGAAGATGCGGCGACTGTACATGTGATGGTCTCTACTTATAAAGCCCGGATTGAGTCGTGGGAAAACCATCTAGTCAGCAAACGGGTTGTGTGGTCAGGAAGGCAGAAGGGTGATTCAGAAGAGGCAAGGCCGCTTAACCCAGCCGAGTGATTGGGAGAGGCCAAAAACGTTCTCCACAAAGATGGCCGCTATGCTCGTTCCCATCCCACAGGCCCCTTGCAATGGGCGTCCCCCCCTCTCCCCATCAGGATCTGGGGCCTGTTCCCCTTTCCCCACCTTGACTCTGGTTGGGCCCCGTGACTGATGGGACCAATAATATACAGTGGAAGTGATACCGCGTCCATTCCAGATATAGCTCTTAACTGGCCCGACCGTTACGTTTCTGGCCTCTTGGGATGCTAGTTTGGGGATGCCCCTCTAGGAAGCCCACTGCCAGGCTGGGAGAAGGCTTGATGCACAGAGACCTTCCCCAGCCGAGCTCCCAGGCAACAGCCTCGTCAACTGTGGCCATGGGGCGTGCCATCACCTTGGACTACAGGCCCAGCAGCCTCTGCCTGCGATGAGGGAGATCGCCTACCCCCACCAACCCAAGGGGTCCTGAGAGACCGTGGCACATTGTCGTTTTAAACCACAGAACTTTCAAGGGTGGAGGCTGTTTCAGAAGTGGCTGGAACACTGGGACAAGAGGACATCCACAAAGAGCGAAGGGAGGGGTTCAGAAAGAATCTCTCTTTCATGACCCCCCAGGCCAGGACAGTTCTAGTCTGTTGAGGAGTGGGCATCCCCATTTAGAGTACCAGCTTTCACACACCCAACAGCAAGCAAACCAAAAGATTTTTCTCGGCAGCCACAAAGCTCCACACAGGTGCCCTTTCTTTGACTTCGGGGCCACCTTGCCAGCTTTCGGGGGGCCTTGCCCTCCAAAGGCGCAGCACAGAACAAGCTCTGTCCTGGGGACTCAGCCTGGCCAGCCGGCTGCTCTCAGCTCATGCTCACGACCACCTGTGATGTGGGCCCTCCTGGTCTTATTGCACAAACCAGGCTCAGAGCCTCGAGGCTGGAGGGATTGGAGCCCAGCCATCACTTGGCGCTGAGCTGCCTCCTCTTTGCATCCTGCCACCTTCGCCACCACCCCCCCCGCCCCCGCTCCATCCAATACTTGCAGAGGCTGGCTGGGGGGTGACTCACTCACCGGCTACAACCTCCACTCCCTAAACTTCTTGAAAGCAAGTAGGAACCCACCACTCCACTGCTTTTCTCTGGGCGGTCAGGCCTCTGCCCTGGTTGTGGTAGGAATGGTGGGGACACGCATTTAGGGCCATTTAAGTGGCCCTCTGCTGAGATCTGCTTTGTTGGGGCCACCCCACCCGGGGTCTCCACGCTGCTTTGTCGAAGAGACCCCACCACTTGCTCTGCTTCGTTGAAGAGACCCCAGGTTTGGCAGGAGGCACTTCTGAGTCCCTTGGACCCTGGGGGCTCTGAGGGCCAGGGGACCTGTTGTCCCCACGCTGAGTCCGGGGTGCCTACTTTTATGTCTGCAATGAATCTTTGCCACAGCAGCTTGGGGTAGGGTCTGTCACCACCCCCTCCCCACAGTTGCAGAAACTGAGTCTCAGAGGGGAAACTGAGTTGCTCAAGGTTACTTGGCTGATAAGTGGCAGCCACTTCCTGGAGTGCCAGTCATCCTCAGGAAGGTTAGTCTCCGTTCTGGGGCCAGTGTTAGCCCCACTGTCCCACATCCCTCCCCCACGCCCCCCCACCATCCATGGTGATAAGTATGACTGGGATGTCTGTCAGCTAGAGACACCCATCTATGATCTCAGCCAGACCAGGGCCTGGGGCTTCCAGCCCGTGGCCACTTAAATGAAACCACAAAGGATAGAACATGGGCAGAGACCGCGGGCACCTCTTTCTGCCATAAGGTATAAAGGGATCTGGAAGAAAGCTAGATATGCCTTATTATAAAACAAAACAAACTGGGTGGGTGGGTGAGGGGGTCTTGCTCCGTTCTTACCCGGGGGCCGAAGTCTCCTGGTGCACCCTGAGAACAAAAAAACCGGAAGACAGATCACTGCTACTATTATTGCTTTATCAGATGTTTTGAGCATTTACCCTGCGCTCAGTGTTTTATGTACATAGTCTCACTGAATTCTAACAACCGTAACATGCAGGCTCTATTTTTATCTCCATTTCCAATGAGGACACTGAGGCACAGAGAGGCTAAGTCACCTGCCCGAGGTCACACAGCTAGCACACCCAGGGTGTGGAACTGGGCACTCTGTTGTCTGTTGCCAGTCCCCAAAACACGGTGGGGGCAGAGACCAGCTGCTCCCACTGCGTCCTCTTGGGATCCTGAAACTTTAGAACAGCGAGTGTTGATGATTACCTGAATCATTGTTTTAAGTCCCCAAGTTTTGGGGCAGTATGTTACTAAGTGATAGATGCCAAGACACCAATTTCTCTCTGGTTTCAAAGCCTCTGCCTTCCTCATTCAGCCAGAGCCTGAGGGAAATAATCCCGGCACCTGCCCCGCTCAGACCATTACCTCGTGCAGTCTTCCCCCTTGGCTCTGTGAGGTTGCTTTCACTTACAGATGGAGAAACTGAGGCCAACGCATCCAAAGCTGTACAGTTGACGGCGGAGCCCTAATGCTAACCTGACGCCCTGAGCACCGGGTCCTGTGCCTTGCACAGCTCTGATGGTGGACTGGAGTCTTGGCTGCCCTTATTCCGTGGGCACATCGCGGCGGGGGGCAGGGTTGGTGCTGGGGTGGATGTGGCCCAGCTTCGCCCAGCCATTCCCTAGAAGCATCCCGCCACACCTAGGTCTGCTCTGGTCCCTCCCTGCTCTGATCCCACTGTGGGACACACAGGTCTCCCCTCTCTCGCCCTCCCTTCTGAGACACTTGGAGGCCCCAGCCCTCCAGGGGTCTGCTGTGACATTCAGCGCCAAATGCCAGGAAAGCCTTTCTCACAAGGGGTGTAAAGTTCACAGGGGCAGCTCTCTGCCATCTGTTTTCCTGGGGTGGGGGTGCACTCCTCACAAAGAATCCCATCTACAGGGACTGTTCCCCCCCTGTCCCTGGCTCTCCTGGCACCCCCCTTTTCACAGGCAGGGACTTCCTTTGGAAACTCCTCATTCTGGGCAGACTGTGCTTTGAGCTTTGTCATGCTCTGGTGCTGGGAGAACTCCAATTTAACCCCCTGGCACTTTAAATTGTTAAATATAAGCCGTGTAACCATTAGGAGGGAGGCACTAGTAACCCCACTTTACAGATGGGGAAACTGAGGCTCTAGGAGAGGATGTGCTGTCCCCAAGGCCACACTCTGGAGCTGGGATCTGGAGACGGGTTTCTGGCATCCTTTATCACATCTGCATCTGGACAGCATCCGGCATCACTTACCTTTTCCCCTTTGGGGCCTGGAAGTCCCTGGAGAAAAAAAGGTGGAGAAAGAACAGGCATGAGCAAGGAGGACTGGGCTGGTTCTCCTTCTGGCTTCCCTAAGGCTTTGGGGGCAGAGGGGCCTATGGGGCTGAGCAGAGCTGTGGGTAGCCGGGTGGGTATATGCACAAATCTGTCAGCTTTTAATGAGGGTTGCTCTGGCCGGCCCTAAGGAAGCCACACAGCGCAGTCCCCTGCATGAGGGAGACGGGGGACTTGAGGGTCGCTGGTACCTCTCAGCTCGGGTAGGGGCACATGTGCTGTCACTCCTCCCAGAGGGCAGAGCCCTCCAAGCTCAGCACCTGCCGTGCCCGGGGCCGCTGCCCCTTGACTATCCATTATCCCTCCAGCCGTTAATGGCTTGGCTTGTTCGTTCATTCAACAACTTGTCCATGCAGGTGGTCAGTTCATTCCTCTATCCTTTAATGCTGCACACATCACCGGGCAACTCCTCAATCGTGTTACTTCTTTCATTCCTTCACACTTGTCTGCTCAACCATCATATGTTTGTCCACCCACTAATTCAGCTACCCTCTCATGCATCCAACTGTTGGTACAATTACCTCATCTGTCTTTCCATCCAACCATCCTTCCTTCCTGCCATCCACCCATCCACCCATCCACCCAACTGTTCATCAACCCAACTCATCTATCTATCCATCCATCTGTTCTTCCATGCAACCGTTCATCAATCCATTTGTCCATCCATCCGTCCATCCATGCACGCACCTGTCTGCGATCCAGTCATCCAGACTTCCTTCCTTCCTTCCTTCCTTCCTTCCTTCCTTCCTTCCTTCCATTCATCAGCCCACCTCTCCATCCATCTATCCATCATACAGTCATTCATCCAGTCAGCCTCCCTCCCTTCCTTCCTTCCATCCATTCATCCTTGCATCCATCATCCAGTCAGCCAGGCTTGCTTCCTTCCATCCATCCATCTATTCCTTCCTTCCTTCCTTCCTTCCTTCCTTCCTTCCTTCCTTCCTTCCTTCCATCCATCTATCCCTTCCTTCCTTCCTTCCTTCCTTCCTTCCTTCCTTCCTTCCTTCCTTCCTTCCATCATCCATTCATCTGTCCATCCATCCATCCACCCACCCACCCAGCTAACTATCCATCCACATCCACTTTTTTGTTTAATTATGCCCTCTCCCTGTACAGCTTATTTATTCTGCTGAAGATGCCTGTGGACCACAGGCTCCTGGCCCACATGTTAAAAACTCATCAGCCCTGTGCCTACCACTGAAGCCTTGAGACTGTGTTGGGGGATGCTCTGTACGTGGGCTTGCTAGGAGGGGCTTGTATGTTCTGAAGGCTGACTAGATGTCAGGGATGGTGCTATCCACACTTCTCTACATCCCCAGCATGTGGGGAGGGTTAATGGACCCATATGACAGAGCCTCGGGCTTGGGAGGTGAAGAGGCCTCCCCAAGGCTGCACAGTCAGCAGGTAGTGGAGGTGGATTTGAACTTAAGTCTGATACCCAAATGGTTTCTCTCCTTGCTGATCCAGGTTCCCAGGGGCCCCTTCCCTCTGGCACCCCATCACTCTCAGCCCCACAGTGGCCTGGTCCCAGGACCACCTAGAATTGCCCTGTCATCACTTACCGGCTTGCCATCTAGACCCAGTGGCCCCTGGAAATGAGAGAGACAGAGAGCAGAGGTTACACACTGGAAAGGCATTTCCTGTGTGTTTTATGACCCAGAGGCACTACTGAGCACCAAAGACCAAAACCTGACATGAGCCCATGGGTCTGAAGACCTTTCACGCGGACCTGGGGTGGGGGTGTCTGGGTGTTTGCTGCCCAGAATCCCCTCCTCTGACAAGAGAGCCCCACTTCTCCTCCAGAACCACCCCCATCTGCTCGTATGGGGCTTGGGCGTGTGGTCTCATTCCCTCGACCAGGGGGATTTGGTTCAGGGATAAACGTCATGTCTGGGGCTTTGAATGGTGGCGCTTTAGGGGAAATAGGGTCTTTTCTCCTGGTGGGGCTAAGGCTGGAGCTCGTGAGGGTACCATGTGGCTTGAGAAAGAGCCAACAGAGAAGAAGTCAGAGCTGAGAGACAGTGAGGAAAACGGGGCAAAGGGTCTGAAGCTGAAACCATCCACCCCTGCACACTTCTGTTTGTCAGTAGTTTTTTCTTTAAGCCAGTGTGAACTGAGTTCTGTCACATGGAACTTGGTAGGGACTGAATATGTTCCCCCCCACAAGTCATGTGTTGGAATCTAACCCCCAGTGTGATGGCATTAGGAGGGGGCTTTGGGGAGGCAAAGAGGTTCATGAGGGTAGAGCTTCACAGATGGGATATTAGCCTTTACAAAAGAGGCTCCAGACGGCTGCCTGGGTCCTGGTCCACCATGTGGGGACACAGCGAGAGGATGGCAGTCTGCAGCCCGGAAGAGGGCCCCCACCAGAACCTGGCCACACTGGCACGCTGAACTCAGACTTCCAGCCTCTAGGACAGTGAGAAGATTTCTGTTGTTTCTAAGCCACCCGGGCCATGGCGCTTTGTTAGAGCAGCCCAAACAGGCTAAGACACAAGTGGAAGAGTCCTGAAGGTTCTTTCAGTTCCCTGCATTGCTGTGGCCTTCGTAGGCAAAAGTCAAGGCTGAGAGAAGCCAAATAGCACAAGGTCAGGTCCCAAGGGCTAGTGTATTCCAGAGGCTGCAGAGGGTCAGTGACCACTGCACAGCAGCTCCCGTGGGCGCCCTCCACCTGGGGACCCATTGCCTCTCAGAAAGCCCCACTGAGTTCCATCCACCGCCATGTGGGGAATCCAAGGGCAGTGCCATGAACCGGATCCACCCAGTCTCTGTCAACACCTCTCCTCCCCCCTGCCACTGCCTCCTCATCCTCACGGACACTTCACCCTTGACCCCAGCCAATGTTCTAGGCAGCTCCACTCCCAAGCCTTTTCGCACATCACCTGCCTGCCTGGCACACCTTTGTGTGTCACCTTTAGCTCAGTCACCTCCTCTTCCATGAAGCCCTCTAGGTTTCCCCACTTTTCAGAAATCAGGCCATTTGTCCCTACACCCAGCACATTTTCTTCCTTCCTTCCTTCCTTCCTTCCTTCCTTCCTTCCTTCCTTCCTTTCATTTTTTTTAAATGTTTATTTATTTTTGAGAGAGAGAGACAGAGTGTGAGCAGGGGAGGGGCAGAGAGAGAGGGAGACACAGAATCCTAAGCAGGCTCCAGGCTCTGAGCTGTCAGCACAGAGCCCAATGCAGGGCTGGAACTCACAAACTGGGACATTCTCACCTAAGCCAAAGCCAGATGCTTAACCGACTGAGCCTTGTGGGTCCAGGCTCTGCGGGGTCCCAATCAGGTTGTCAGCCCCAACCCTAGTCACTGAGGCTGACCAGGAACTGCCCTAGCTGGCATCTCCTGCTGGCTCCTGGCTGTCCTGACCCCTGGGTCCACATGCCTGAGGCCTCCTGTCCTTAGTCTGCTAAAGTTTGGCCCTGCATCTCCTCTCCCTGCCCCATGCTCAGGCCCTGCTAGGCCTCACCCAGGCCCGGCCCCTTCTGCTGCCACAGTGCACACAGGGACATGTCCCACCCTGGGTCTCTTCTGGGGGCTCTTTGTGGACCCCTACTCAGTCTGAATCGCCACAGCAAGCCCGTAAGGCAGGTGTTCATCCCTGTCTTACAGAGGGGGAAACCGAAGCCAAGTGAGGGAAAGACCTTGCCCACAGCCATGCAGCCAGGGCAGGGCTAGAGCCCAGGATGGCTTTCCGGTTCTGTGTCCTCAGGCACTCAAGCAGCCTGCAGTGGCCTCGCCTAGATTCCTGGCCACTCTCCCCACAATCTGCCTGTCCTTGCATGCCTCTGTTCAAAGCTCCCTGCTCCATCCCAGTGCCCACTGGACCTCGCCTGCCTGCGGGCCCCCGGCCAGCTTGGCCAGTGTGGCTGCCATCGTGGACTCTGTGTCCCGGGCTTGTGCCCATGTCGACTGCTGAACTGAGCCCAAACACAGCGCCCCTCTATTGATCTAAAGGGATTAAAAAATCCATAATGCAGGGCGCCTGGGCAGCTCCTGATTTCCGCTCAGGCCATGATCTCGATCTCGCGGTTTGTGGGATCGAGCACCGTGTCAGCGCAGAGCCTGCTTGGGATTCTCTGCCCCTCCCCCCACTCACTCTCTCTCTAAACAAACAAACAAACAAACAAACAAACAAACAAACATACATACATTAAAAAAAATCCGTAATGCAGACTGAAATTAAAGAGAGACAAAGGTGCAGTTAGAGCTGAGTTAATCTCTTTCCTCTTCGGGGGGCTGGGAGGGAGGGCAGTGGCTTCACAGCCAATTTACCAGCAGCAGCATGAGGAGTTCAAGGTGTCCTTGACAAGGGCTGGGACACAGTGCAGGGCTGGTCCGAGGGAAGCAGGCACCCCGCCCCTTAGGGCCACAGAGGCAGAGACTCTCCAGGGCAAGTTTAGGAATGCTCTGATGTGCCTCAGTGTGGGCTCTGTTGAATCCTGCCATACCCTTCACGGCGTCTGTCCTCACTGCCGCCCTGGCAAGCAGGCACCATAGTCCCATTCCACAGCTGTAGAAGCTGAGCCCATGGCTGAAATAGGCCCCCCTCTCCACGTGGTGTTCCCTTTCCTGCAGCATAGGGCAGCAGGGTTGACAGATGGCTGTTCCAGGGGACCTAGGATGAAGCCTCACAGGCCCTGCCTTCCTTCTGGGATTCCTGGTATGTCTGTCTCCCCCACTGAACAGACCTCTCTGGGCAGGGCTCTCTGGACCCTCTTCCACCCTGGCTCTCTACCAGAGAGAGTGCTGGATCAGACAAACTCATTTGCTGTGTGACCCTGAGACAGCCAGTCAACCTCTCTGAGCCTCAGCATGCTCATTACCTATTCTCCCCAGTAGGGTGCTTCCTGCCCTGGCTTGGTCCCATTTCCCCTAAACTCTGCCACACCATGACCTCCTGACAGCTCTTGGGGTTTGGGAAGAGGTGCTTCACTAGTCTCATAGTACATCTGGTGCCCCTTGAGGCCCATGCACTTACACACGCCACGCTGTTTCTTGGCCCCAGGCTGTGCTTTCCCGTTTTCCTCCACTGCACAGAGTTCCGCCTCCACCTGGGGAACTCCTACTCATTCTTCCAGGCCCAGCTCAAATGGTGCTCCTGGGAGCCTCCCCAAGGAGAAGCAGCATTCTCCCTAGGCTGTCTGCCACAGAGCTGGGTCCCCATCCTTCTGGAAGAAAGCCCTGTGGCCGAGCTCCTGGAGACATGTGGGGCGGACAGAGGAGACAGCCTTTGGATTCAGACCCACCTGGGATCAGATGCGGGCTTTCCCACATGCCAGCTCGTGACCCCGGGCCTCATCATTGGTAGCAGGCCACCCTGCGTCACTGACCTGTGTGTGTGTGTTGGGGGTTGGGGTTCTGCTGAAAAGGTACTATGTGCACCGAGTGAAACTTACAAACTGTACAGAAGGAGACGGGACAAAGCAAACCTTCTCTTCTCCCCAGCTCCTCTCCCAGAGAGCACCATGGGCATCAGCTTTGGGAAGCTGTCCTTGCCTGGAGAAGCACATGCATAATATCCCTGCCTTTCTTATTTTTAAAGCCCTCTGCGGGTTGCACAGCAGACATCTGTAGCTCCATTTGTCTTCCTGTTGCAGAGGAATCTGGTCCTTGGGCCCCTGAGGCACGTCATAGCCCTCCTCCCCGCATTCCAGGAAAGCCCTACCACATACATGTGAGACCTGAGCATCATCCCCATGGCCCTTCCCTAATACCTGTAGTGTCTCCCACGCAATGCCCTGGAGAACTTTCTAGAATGCAAGGCTCTCCTGCTTGAGCCCTTCTGGGCAGCCTCACTCCTGAAGGAAAATGTCCAGACCACCTGGTCTGATGCCTAAAGCCCTCCTGCCCCATGCTGGGCACTGAGCACACATCTTGGGTTGGGCCTTTCCAGGGCCGGGGGTGCCTCTGGTCCATCGCTGAGTCCCCAGACCTGGTTCCAGGATGTCTGCTGGGTTGACCACACAGAGCTGTAGGTGGCCGGCTTTTCTAGAAGTGTGCGCTGCAGAAGGGAGCCTGGGATGTTCCCTTGGCTTGGACCCCTCAGGGGGAGTCTCCTGTTGCTGGCTGTCTCTGAAAGCATTCCAATGGCCAGACCTCGCTGTCTCTTCTTGAGAGTGACCTTGGGCCTCCCATCTCCTGGGAGGGATTCTGCTCTCTTTCAACTCCGAGATTATTCCTGGTGGTCCCCAAGGCCTCTCTCTGGTGTGTGAGAAAGCCTAGAAGTGGTAAAAACCCCATTTTCCTTCCTACGGCCCTGCCTCTATCTGGGATCACAGAGCTCCTGGTTCCCAGAACTTAGAGTTTTCAAAAGAAGCCAATGAATTTTGTAGTTTCTGATAAATAAAAGCAGAGGGTGTGGCCTGAGCTGTGCTCTTGGAAATGTCCACCATGCAGCTCAAGGGAAGCTGTTCCCATTCCCCAGGAACCCAAGATTGGAGCTGCGGGTGGTTGGATCTGATGCTGAGCAGATTCCCGGGCAAACACAGAAACCCACGTGTGCACATTTGTAGGGCAGACGGTGCCAGCCGTCCCTGGGGATGGAGCTGACCCACAGCCATGGCCCTGGTCTGTGCAGGTGGCTCTGGG